TATATATATATAATTGCAGATAACGAGGCAAAGCCATTAGAATGGAAAAAAGAAAAGGAAAAGTTGTGTATGTGCATATTAAAGTTTATTTACCGACGTGTTGACAATGACCAAATGTCGTTCTTGATCTAATTGTTGAGGAAGAAGTTAAAACATACATGACCTAGTTGCGAGACTATTAATGAACTTATCGATGTAACACTTGCTTTTTTATACGCTTTTCGGTAAAGTCAATATGATTCCCAGTCAAAGAAGTATCGTCCATGAGATATATATAGGGATGGCAATGGGGTAGGGTGGGGTGGCGGATGATTTCTCATCTTCATCTCCGCTACCATAAGTTATTTTTATCTCCGTTTTCATTCTTGTTTAAGGAGGGGTGGAGTTAGAGTTGAGAATTCTCCATGAAAGGTGTTAGTACCGGTTTGAGTATTTTAAGATTTTATAAGACAATATGAATAATGCAGAAACATAAAATAAAAGAACACGAGAGAAATGGTATCGCGATTCGGTAACACTCTACTCCGCAGGGCCACGCCCAGATGTTGAACAATCCACTAAGAACTCTTTTACAATTCAATTGGACTTAATCTACCCGAGACTCCCACTCTAAGAAGACACCTATGAACTTCCAATTTCTCAATGGACTTGAACAACGAGATCCCCTCGACTTTTGAACATTAGAATTCCTCCAACTAAGTTTTTCTCCTGAAAAACACTCAAATCATCTCTCTTGAATACAAGTGCTCACCCTTGTCTCACAACCCAGCCAAAACTCATGAAAAGGCGTACAAAGACTTAAGAGACACTTTTTAAAAATAAGCAAGCTATGAATAGCTTGACACATCATCAATTAATTCGCTGAACCAAATCTGTTGCAGATCCTTGTTGCAACAATAACTGCAACATAGCTGTCACGGTCAACTTTCTCAAAACCAGACGAATCAATCTCCTTTCATTCTGAAATCTTCCCAAAACTGATAAACGAACCTGGACACGTTCTTAGGCGACATAGGAAGATCATCCAGCTATGAAATCGCAATCAAGAATCAATCAAATCAATTTTTTATCTTTGAATCAATAGTTGACTTACAAAAATAGAAACTTAAACAAGTTTCCAGATCTTTTAGTAACCTTCCATAAAAAGCTAGCCAGCTGCACATCTATTTTCAAACACAATCAACCAGCCAAACATTCCCAAAAAAATGTCAATCAAATACGATTAGAATCAATACACAAATTGAAAAACAAATCCCAACAATCTCCGGAAATAAATCCCAACAAGAGGAGTCTTTCTTATACCCGTCTCATTTCTCATCATATAGAATTATACATTTTAAAATTATGGCAACTTAAAATAAAAAATAGAGTAGAAAATCATTATAAATTTAGATTAAAATCAAAGATTTCATGATAAAAACCAAACTCTTAATATATTGCAAACTGAATACAAAAGTAATTACTAACATATAAACGAAAAAAGTTTAAAAACATCAAAATATAAATGTAAATTATCATTTTTTGTTTATTCTTAAAAGCTTTAATTTTTATTGCAGGGTTGCACATTAATATGGGGGCGGAACTACGCCACAATAGGCTTTTCGTAGCGGTTAGTTATAACGTTTCTCAAAAAATGTTATTACGTCTGTATATAATAGCGTTTAAAAATAATTATAATATATATATATATATTAAAATGTCATGAGATTTTGATAGAGTTGTTTTATATATATTTAAAAATATATAAATGTACATTTTACAATTACATTAAGCGGCCATTTGGAAATAATTTTTCCAATTTTCCCGCTGGCTCCTCCCCGTTTTTTATTTTTTATTTGCTCTGAAATGCATTATACAAAGGAAAAAAAAAAAAAAAAAAAAAAAAAAAAAAAAACCCACTCTCCCCAAAAAAAAAACCTCACACTGTCGAAGACTCATTTGGCCGGCCAAGGGAAAGAACCTCATTCTCCCACACAGTATTCTGATCTCTTTCCCCAAAATTCCCCAAGTTTCCCTAAATTTCCCTAAGTTTCCTCAGGATTTGCTCTGCTAGATTCCGAAATTGAAGGCCGGTGTTAGGTTCCCTCAAATTTCCAACTTTCCCCCAAATGCCCTAATTTTCCAGTCCATCTCACGGGAAGATATCAGCTCGTCCGTTCTTCTCTGCAGATCGATTGATCGTTTGGGTTTTTATATAAGATATCAGTTTAGGTTTTTCATATCTCTCTCTTTTCAATTCAAACAAAAACCAAAGCCCCTCTCTCGTGTTTTCAGATCTCTCTCTCTCTCTCTCTCTCTCTCGTTCAAGCTCGTGAACCCCCCATCCAAAGTTCATCAATCTCAAAAACCCAATTCCAAAACAAACCCAATCGTCCCTCACGTCTCAAATCCTCGGCAGGGACGGCGCTGCGATTTCGAAAATCTAGCTGGGGCGGGGTAGTGGGCTGCTGCGACGGCGTCATCTGGCGAGGAAAACCCAGAAAGCCCAACGAAGCTTCCAGATCCG